GGCCTGTTCTAGTTTCCATTCGGATGTGAATTTGATAACATTTGCGGATTTCCTTTTAACATAAGCGAATTACCCTAGGCGTTTTAAGGAGATTTTAGCTGGCCGCTCTGAACAAATGGATTTGCTTTGTCTGAGACTTGCTAATAAGGGGCTGATCAAATTTGGCATGCTGTAGTCTCCAACTCATGGATAGTAATGGAGCACTAACTTAATTAATCAAATTTAAGGAAGTAGCATTTACCGCTGAAAATAAGCATTTTGAAATATATTTATTTGCAATTAGCTGTTCTCATGGCAAAATTCTCTAGAGTAGAGTTTGTTGTAGAAAAAGTTACCTGGCATAACATTTAGTTCAGGTTGTATATTGAAATGGCTGGTATTTTAAAAAAGAACACTTTTGCATATACCTTCAACTAATTGTGAAACAACCTAAAAATGAATTGTTTGAAATTAATCTTAGGATAATGTCGATCTTTTTTGGTACCCTGCACCCTTTAAAATGTATTTTTTAGCTTCGACTTTCCGCTCGCAAACTGAAACATGTACGGCGGATTTGCAATATTGCAGAAGGTTAGAATCGAAACGATTCAGAGTTGCAGCCATAAAATAATTATTTATAAATAAAATAGGCTACCCTTAACTAATACAGCTATGCAGTAATGTTCCTAAAAAATCAGAAAATGACCCAATGGCAGTCCCCGCGGAAGTAAAACTAGGTCAGGGAAATCCGAATAAATTTTGCGGACGTGGAAACTATAACCTGCTATTCTTGTCATTTAAAATTTTAAATTTGAAACAAATCTTAATTGGTCTCTGAGATAATGTCTTGAGGGTTTATTTTAAAAAAATTAAAAACGACAATATATATATATATATAAACAAAAATCAGTATTGGAGTCACAGCACCTCAGAAGTACCCAGTAACCTTATTTTATGAACTTTTAGGTTTTAATATCTCAAAAATCATAAATAGGAAATTTCCTGAAGCCGGATTCGAGGAATTCGTAGGAAATAGGAAAACAATCAAAATGAAACTTTTGAGATCGTTAAAAGCATGATCAAATTATTCAAGGTAGTCCCGTCGGAAAAATAAGCCCTAGTTCGGCTTATCAAAGTGTGTGTGAGTCGGTGTGCCTGAAAGGTTGAATGAAATGACTCAATGAATAAGCCCGAGCTGTCAAAATAAGCCCTAAAATCCGAACGATTTGGACCCGACGGGACTACCTTGTATAATTCTATCATGATTGTGAGCGTGACAAAATTGTTGTGGTTTAAGCAGTTTTCACTTAAATTATGGAAAAGAAAGCCAAAGGTATGTAGAATATTTGTATTAAAGTAGACTTTGTTCATGTTTGATAATGTGCTCTTTGTGTGAGTTTATTTGTGTTGTTCAAAAGTAGAAAAAAGCTAACCTGCTAACCCGTCTGTTCTGGATTATAACAAATTTTGTGCCAACTTGTGCCAAAATATATCTATGTGTCATTAAAGTGCAAAGCAACTGTTCGATGTCTATATAGAAAACAATTGGAGAGCATCTGCCGTAACACGTTGGATTTATGATGAACTGAAAGAATTCGCCTTCAGCACGGAGCAATAGTGATAGTGATTCACATTCTAACTCTGAAAATCCGATTTCAATAGAACTTGATATAGAAGACGACTGTTAGGAAAATTTAAAAATGAAAAATACTTATTTATAGTCATTTTGAATGCATTGTTATTTTTTACTTATTAATATAAAGCTTAAGTGTTAAAAAAATGAATTTAAAACATTTTCTGATTTTAATAAGAGGAAATTTAATAAGAGGAAACCTATCATATATGGGCGGCGTGGTCAGATCGGTCTGAAACTTACATATATTTTTATGTGTATTGACACATGTACCAACTTTAAAAGAGTCTATCTTTAAAACTTTAATTTTTGTCGAAATATCGGCTCGCTGGCCCAATGTGCTTTGGTGGGAAAACTTTGCAACTCGCGTTTTCCAGCACCAGCGTGGCCTGTGGAAACTTTTCCAATACGTGACAGTGTGAGGCGTTCGCTGGAAATAAAGGCGCACTCTGGACGGGAGAGAGTCCCCCCTTGCTCTCGAATTCCAGTGGCGATCCCAAGTGACCTAGATTCGGGGAGCCCGGATAGCCTTACACAAAGTGTGTCACTATGCCGTAATGTCACTTTACAGGGTCTTTCGAGTTTTGGAGAATTCCTGCGGAATTCCCTAGAAAGTTCCTTGGGAATTCTTGAAGAATTCCACAAGAACATTCCGGTAATTCCGCCGGTAATTTGCCAGGAATTGTATAATTCTATCATGGTTAAAAGGGGAATCGGAGATAACAAAACAAATGTGTTATAAACAATATTTTACCAAATGGAGCACCTACACTCATAAAAATATTTTTCTAGATTTAAGAAAAATCGCCATAAAAAAATCGACCTTAAACTAAGAAAAGTTTTCTGAAATTACCAAAAGGTTTTCATGAATTTAAGGCAAGGCACCGTAAAACCAAGAAAATCCGCCATAAATACACTTTTTTAGGATTAATTTACATATTTTGCTCAAATTTAGGGCAAAATTTTGAGATTTGCTTCGTTCAATTTCATTCTTTAATTACGGGCGAATTTTCTTAAATTACGGGAGAATTTTCTTTGTATGGCTGGTCAACTTTTCGTAAAACTATGGCGTATTCTTTTGGCAAATTCCGCACGTGTGCGCATACAATTCCCAACTGGTTCAAACGTCTTTGGCATCAGGTGACGGTGGCCGGCCAACACTTAGTAAGAGCAAGTCTCTTTTGCAACACCAAAAGTGTTAGCATTTGGCCGCCTTTGTTAATAAACAATAATAATATTGTTTTTGTTGTAATATAACAACAAAAAATATTATTATTAATATTTATTAACAATATTTTTTACAACAAAAATAATATTATTGCCTATTTACAAATGCAGCAGCAACAACAACATACAATTGCAGCTTACCTTCAATTTTTCTACATTCAAGAAAAATGTTACTAAATGTAAGAAATATTCACCTTCAATTTGAGGAAAATTGTTCCCATATTTAGGACAAATCTCCTTATAAACAAGAAAATGTTTCTTCATTTAAGAAAAATCGCCCTAGAAAGATTCTTTCCTCAAATGTAGGGCCAATTTACTCAAATCTAGAGCGACTCGCCTTTGGAACCTTTTTTATGGCGAATTTCTAAATACACGGGCGAAAAGCGGCTTTTTAAGGGCGATTTTAGGCAAACATTTTTATGAGTGTATGGAATATATGCCGCAACTCCTTAATAAGATTTATATACTAATTTAAACTATTTAACCCTAGACGGTCATGCTTCGTCGATTCGACGACGTAAAATCTCAAAAGATCAAAATAACAGACGGACGGACAGACGGACATGGCTAGATCGACTCGGCTGCTGATGCTGATCAAGAATATATATACTTTATAGGATCGCAAATTTCTCCTTCACTGCGTTGCAAACTTCTGACTGAAATATAAATATAAATAATATAATATATATATATATATATATATATATATATATAAATACCCTGCAAGGGTATAAAAACGCAAAGGAGTTGTAATTCGATCATGATACTTACACCGTATATTCTACAAATAATGTATTTTTTAAACGAAAAAAAAAGTTTCACAAAAGTCCTTACCGTTTTTTTGTCCAGTGAGCCACTTTTCTTGGGCAAAAGTTTAACGTCAATTCAAGAGATATTGCCTTGAATCATAGCTCATAACTATAGGAAAAATTAAGAAAAAATTACGTATGAATTAATAAAACTTTAGTTAATTCAAGTTTATGTAACTTTACCTAAATGTTAAAAACTTCATCAAAAGCGAATCAGTTGTTTACGAACAATCCGAAAAGTTTTCCATATAAATGCATGTAAAAGTTGTTTTATTGATTCTTTCTTTATTCTAAAAAGTTGCTTGATATTGTACATATATAATTAAGATAACCATATTTAAATTATTTTATTTTATATTTATGTGTGACAACATTGTGCACGCCAAAAGCATTGGTGTCGCTGCTCGAACTGTCGATGACGTGGTTAATAAATTCAAACCTGACTTATTCTTACATCATCCCCAAATCGAACAAAAATGTAGAGTCCTACCTTAAATAGTGCATAGCTATGGTGCCGACGCCTTGTGCAATCCCCTTCTTAAACTGTTTACCTTATTCTTAGAAACCTCCCACCTCCCTATATTTTAAAGAAATCATATGCTATTCCTTTCCACAAAAAAGGTCGCAACTCCCAATCCCAATCCCAAAAAATTTTGTTCTCAGTGTTATGTACTCCGTCCCGCAAGGCACAGTGGATCCGCTTGTATGGAAAAGTGGCCAAAAATACTAACAATGGCCTTAGCGTGCTAGAATTTTAAACGAAGACAAAGAACATATAACACAAAAAATTTAACAAATCGAATGGCTATATCCTTTCACTCCCAAAAGAACAATCAATCCAAATAAAAAACAAATATTTTTTTTTCAATGTATGTAATTGAATAAGAATTTATTTTGTATACAATGCAGCTAATATATTAAGAAAAAACAAGAAAAGAAACTAACTTAATAATAAAAATACATTGAAAAACAACAAATGTTGGGACGCCCCTGGGTCCCGGGTTTTACCACGTACAACAAGCGCCTGGTTGTATTATACTGATAGCAACAGCGCTGAAATCTTTATTTAATCTTGTTAAAAAATAAAGAAGTTTTACATTTTTTCTGATCTTACACTTGTGGTTTGCCGCTCTTCAATTCACAAAGTGACGCTTACATATATAGCGGTCTCATTCTCGCAAAAAAGGGTATTTTACAATACTAATTTAGTGTTGGTCAGAACAACTTCGGTGTTATTCAACGCTAAACAAATTCAAATTACCGCCCTTTTCAAATTGGGCATCTAGCGCGGGCAGCGAACCTTCGCCAGCATCGCAACATTCCCCACCTCGTAATTCTTCTGCGTGGCTACGCTAAGTATTACCATCCATGACGATGTCCAATTTGGCCAACTTAACCGCAGGGCGAGTTACGAATCCTTCAGTTGTTCGCACTACAGCGCTCCTTACTTGCCCATCCTTTCCGCAATGAACCTCAGCAACGATTCCTTTCGGCCAGGAGTTCCGCTTGCTCGTCTCATCAGCGGCATCAGCCAGTGCCGCTCGTAGTACTTCTTCTCGCAGTCCGGCATGCGCCAGAATTTCTGTCAGGATCGACTTTGTAGAACGCACCATGCGTTCCCAGGCTCCGCCCATGTGAGGTGATCCGGGTGGAATAAAGGCAAACGACATTTCCGGATACTTCGATTCCACCTCCGTTGTCTGACAGCATCTTAACAGGAACACCTCGGCGAGCAGTAAACAACTTTAGGGCCAGCAGGAATGAGTCTGTCGATAGAGATGAAATGATCTCTAAATGGACAGCACGAACTGTTAGACAGGTGAACAATACTCCCCATCTTTTCTCCCTACGTCTTCCTACGGCGATTTCCATTGGTCCGAAATAGTCCACGTGTACGTGTAGTGTACGTGAAAGGCAGACTGAACGGTGAAAGACGTTCCTTGGGTAAATTTCCCATTATTGGTGGAAGCGGCTGCGCGCGTCTGATGCAGCAAGCCGAACAGTTTTTCACGATGTCCTTTACAAGCACTCTCAGTCCTGGTATCCAATATTGTTGCCGAATTTCGTTGACAACAATCTCTCCGTGCAGATGATGATATTTGCGATGATAGTATCCCACTATTAGATACGTTACTCTGTGGCGTGACGGGAGGATAATCGGATGCTTCACGTTCACCTCCACATCTTCAATGGCTTCGATCCGTCCTTGCATTCGAAGCACTCCGGCTGCATCAAGGTATGGTGAGAGCTTGAAAATTGTACTTTTCCGGTTAGTTACGCAGTCTCCTTTCTTTAGACAGCGTATTTCATCAGCAAACGCTTCTTCTTGGCATGCTCGTATAAAGACAGTATCCATTTCCACATAGCGTTTTACTTTGAATAGTCTCACCAGTTCAGGCCCACGCGGTTCCTTGCATATATAGCGTAGGAAATCCAGTACTCGTTTTTGGGCAGCACGCAAACGCTCAAGCCTACTGAAACGCAACGGATCCGGCATAATCGAATCAATGGGTGACTTGTTCACCCGCGTTTCCTCGTCATGGTACATTAGTTCACACTCGCTGCTAATGTCAACTCCTGCTCGCGATGGCCACTGCGACTCGCCTTGCAATAAAAATTCCGGACCAGTAAACCATCTTGCTGAGCTGTTTATTTCGCATTTCTTGGTCCATTTGGTTCCTTCATCTGCCACATTCTGTTCCGAAGGTACCCAGCGCCAATCTTCAATCTCAGATCCTTCAAGAATCTCTCCAATGCGTAAGGCCACGAATTGAGGGTACTTACGGGCGTCGGATTTTATCCAGTACAGAACGTCTCGCGCATCAGTCCAAAATATGCGCTTCTCAATTTTTGTTGACAGCTCCGATTCCAGAAATTTGGCCAGGCGCAGACCCAAAACAGCTGCCATCAATTCCATTCGAGGCACTGATATTGGTTTTAATGGAGCTACTCTATTTCTTGACGCCACCAAAGAGCATCGGATCTCGCCGCCATGTTTAACACGCAGGTATGCTACTGCAGCATAAGCATCCAGGCTGGCATCGACAAATACATGCAACTGCACCCCTTTGACGGAACTTGAACAGTACATATAGCGTGGGATGCGGAGATCTCCTAGTTTGATCAGTAAAGCCTTCCATGCCATCCAGTCATTCTCATCCGGTTCTTTAATGGCGTCATCCCAGCTCACTCCTGATCTCCATATATTTATACCCTTGCAGGGTATATTTCAGTCAGAAGTTTGCAATGCAGTGAAGGAGACGTTTCCGACCCTATAAAGTATATATATTCTTGATCAGCATCAACAGCCGAGTCGATCTAGCCATGTCCGTCTGTCCGTCTGTCCGTCTGTCTGTCTGTCCGTCTGTCTGTCTGTCTGTCTGTCTGTCTGTTTCTACGCAAACTAGTCCCTCAGTTTTAAAGCTATCTGAATGAAACTTTGCATATAGTCTTCTATATGCTCTCACTGCTATATATGTCGGAACGGGCCGGATCGGACGACTATATCATATAGCTGCCATACAAATATTCGATATATTTTTAGAAAAAAAATTATAACTTTGCTGTTTTTCAACATTTTTGCATCATTTTTTAGATATGGCCATTCTATATTATTTCAGAATTTTGGTAAAAATTTTATGAAAATCGGACGACTATATGATATAGCTGCCATAGGAATGATCGAGAAATAAATAGAAAAAAAATTATAGCTTCGTTGTTTTTCAACGTATGTTTATCTACTCTGAGATAAAAGCTTTTTTTATTATTCTAAAATTTTGGTATAAATTTTATAAAAATCTGACAACTATATCATATAGCTGCCATTGAAGCGATCGGTAAATGTATAAAATATATAAAGCTGGAAATGTAAAACTGTAACTGTCAAACTGTAAACATAATAAGTATAGGTAAAATGTAATAAAACTCTGTTTTGTGAGTGTTTTCAGCATTTAAATCTATAATATAAACATCGAACCAATCTGCAAGGGTATACAAACTTCGGCGTGCCGAAGTTAGCTTCCTTTCTTGTTTGCAGGATGATTTTGGCACGGATGTTGAAAAATCCAAGTATCCCAAGCGGATAAAAAATGGACTTACAATACTCAACACTCGACGCTTTGTGTGAGTTGCCGACCTCTGCAACAACTGGGGCCGGATGACGAACGTTAGCATGTCCGATTCCTGTAGCCACCACATGCCTAAAACTTTCTCCTGAAGTTCTTGCTCCACGCCAAGATATTTCGGTGAAGGCTCCCGTGAGTTAGTCAGGGATTGAAGGACGCTTTTCGAGTTTGAAAGCCAATTCCTCATTTCAAATCCACCTTTGGTGTGGATATCTTTCACATTTGTTGCCAGTTCAATCATCTGATCTTCCGTATCTACCGACTCCAGCCAGTCGTCAACAAACGTGTTTCAGAAGAACGCCTTTATCGCGCTGGGATGTTTCTCGCCGAACTGCTCCGCATTGCGCCTCAATACGAAGTTGGCAAGCGACGGCGAACAAGAAGCGCCAAAGGTCATCACTTGCATTACATATGTATCCGGCGGACGATCAATTTCTCCATTTCTACATAAGATCTTCTGCGAAGATTGATCAGAGACGCTAACTTTAATCTGGTGAAACATCTCTCGTATGTCACCTGTTACAGCCACAGGTCGCTCGCGGAAGCGCAGCAGTACTCCCATTAATGATACCAACAAATCCGGTCCTTTTAAAAGTGTATCGTTCAAAGACACGCCATCGACCTGTGCTGCGGCGTCCCACACCAAACGTTTCTTTCTTTTGTTGGGGTTTTCCACTACAAAGACAGGCAGATACCAAGAACATTTGATATGAGTCAGCTCTCGTTTTTGCAGTTTTCGAATGTAACCCTTCTTCTCGTAGTTCCGCATGGTATCAGTCAGAAACTCATTCAGCTCCGGATCCTTAAGCATTTTTGACTCGAGACATTTGAGACGTCTAAGAGCCATGTGATAGGAATCAGGCAGCTCAACATTCTCGTATCTCCACAATAATCCAGTTTCCCAGCGACTATCATTGGAAATGTACTTCGTAGTTCGGTTCATAATCTTCAGCGACTGCTCATCTTCCTTCGATCGCAGTGGTTTTGAGGGAACGCTCACACCAATAGCTTCCAACGAAAAATGCGCCTTCACAGCCTCGTCGAGTGCTCGTGTAGCGCACGTACACTGGCAGACATGCAGCACACGTGGCAGCATGGCTTCCTCCAATCCATATCGGCCATAAACAGACCATCCCAATTGGCAACGAACCGCAATAAGATCGTCATATCAGCTTCTTGTACCTCCAGTGGCACACAGATCTTAATGTGATCCAATCCAATGATCATTTGGGCTCTGGCATTTGAGTACGTTGAGACAGGAACGGATCTAAGGTGATTGTGATCATCAAGCATTTAATCATCAATACTTTGCAGTGGCAGATCCAATTTGCTCACAGTGCGCACTTCTTTCAGCACATATTTCACATCCAGAAAACCGGCAGCGGAAACATTGATACAGACGAGCTTGGATTTGGCTTCAGTCTGCGTCATATCGCCGGTCCACTTCAAACAGAGCTCCTCTTCTGGTCCATCTAATCCCAGCTCATCAGCTAACTTGCGCTCCATTAGCGTACAGGATGATCCCTCATCGATAAGGGCCAATACATCTACGGCTCTTGATCCATTGTGCAAAGTTACCGGTATATATCGGAACAGTGCCTTCTCTGTTGACTTATCATGGAAGAAAACAGTTGACTCACTGGTTATATCGCTAGTTTTCTTCTCTGGTTCAATCTCGTCCTCGTTCACAACTCGCTCAAAGTGTAGAAGCTTATTGTGATGTAACTTGCATCCATTGACATTGCAAGTCTTCTTTACTTTACAGTTCCGAGCAATATGCTTCCCAAAGCAACAGAAGCATAGTCGTTTTGCCTTGATTATGTCCAATCTAGACTTGATTGACATGGCCAAAAATACTTTGCATTTTACAAGTTCATGGTCACCGTCACATCCTGGGCACGATGATTCTTGTACATCCTGCAGATTCTGATTTTTCTTGTCATCGCCTTCCACCGTATTGTGGACTAATAGGCGTTCCTTCACGTGTCTGCCACCTTTTTCTTTCTCTGTTGGTTGATAATCATACGGCGTCACCATCGTAGCGCACATAGCTACGCCAAATAGCCAATTATCAAAGGCGGGCAAATTTTCGCCGCCTGCTGCCAAACGATTTCTGCCCCAATCTAGCTTCAAATCGCTCGACAGCTTAGCTACCAAATCACTTAGCAGGGCTGAGTCGTTTAGGTAATCATGTAGACTCATCGACAACATGGTCGCGCAATAATTCTGCACCGCAAGTGCCAAACGAATTACGGACTCCAAATTGTTCGGTTTGATTGCTGGTTCCTCCTTTAGTTTACGCTGCAGACTAGCGTGCACTATTTCTGAACGTCCATATAGCATTTTCAACGTTCCAATCGCATATGGAACCATAGCTGGAACTATAAGTTTGCCTCGTACAGCATCTAAAGCTGATCCTCTAAGGCACTTCTGAAGTCGGATGAGATTCTCCTCGTTGCTGAATCCGCATCTTTCTGTTGACTGCTCATAGTTGCTTATGAATAACAGCCACTCCTCGGCCTTACCGGAGAAAACAGGTAATTCTCTCGATATGACTTGACGCGCAGCTATCTGAGTCGGCGTCAGCATAACTGCATTGTTCTCTGCCTGCTAGAACTGTGTGCTGGCAAACTGCGGCATATATCCACCTGCTCCACCGGCATTAACTCCAGAATTGTAGGGCTGGGAAAAGTTCGCCATGTTGGGGTTACATTGTGGCATGAAACCCACTCCACTGAATGGCGGGGCAAATCCCGCCGAACCGCCTTGGAATCCAAACATGGCTGCGTTATTCGCCATGAATCCAGCAGCATTTCCTGGCAGTACTGGTTGCTCTGCTCTGTTTGGTATGAATCCTGCCGCGCCCCTTGGTGGTGCGGCCTGTGCTCCATTATTTGCCATGAATCCAACCTCATTTCGTTGTGGAACCGGCCACGCGCCGTGTAGCGGTGCGGCTTGGGCTACGTTGTTCCCTTGGACTTGTGCATAGGGAACAGACGTCAAGATTGGACCACGTGCAGCCCTCTGTTGCATATAGGGTGCCGTTGTCCATGGTGTATGTCCATTCACTGTGTTCATTTGCTGCGCAGAAAACTGTGTAGCAGCATTTGGTTCCAACATGTCGTGACTCGCTTGGTTCACACTCATCGGCGTGCTCGCACTTTGCAGCGGCACACACCGATTCGACCCCATCACGGTCTGTGCAGTCGAGTTCCCATCGTAGAAGCCCGCAAATGGTCCTGTGAAGCTACAATTAGAGCTTCCAACAGAACCGTCCTCAATGCCCATAGCTTCGGCATTCTGATCGCCACTCTCGCGATCCATTACGTCATCCATGACGTCACTCTCCACAGGCCAGAAAATCGCAAACCTTATGCGATTCACTAGCTACAAACGTCCGAATCTGGACTCCAATCGAAGCTATCCTGTATACTCCTCCTCACTCCTTCACACTCTTGGTAAGGAGCGCTTTCCAGACGCTGTGCACCCTTGGCACAGAATTCCGGATGGCAAAGTATTTCAGAATGTTGGGACGCCCCTGGGTCCCGGGTTTAACCACGTACAACAAGCGCCTGGTTGTAGTATACTGATAGCAACAGCGCTGAAATCTTTATTTAATCTTTTTAAAAAATAAAGAAGTTTTACATTTTTTCTGATCTTACACTTGTGGTTTGCCGCTCTTCAATTCACAAAGTGACGCTCACATATATAGCGGTCTCATTCTCGCAAAAAAGGGTGTTTTACAATACTAATTTAGTGTTGGTCAGAACAACTTCGGTGTTATTCAACGCTAAACAAATTCAAATTACCGCCCTTTTCAAATTGGGCATCTAGCGCGGGCAGCGAACCTTCGCCAGCATCGCAACAACAAAGGTATTGTTGGGGGTGGCGCTTCCTTCTGGATAAGTGGAGGTGTAGTGGATGGAAATTTATGGAAATTTCCCACAGCGCAAGCGTACGGTGGAGAAGAAAAAAAACAGCGTGGGCGTCGTGGGTAATCTCAGCGTAGTCGATCAGCTTT